AAGCTCCTCATAGAAGCACTTGGGGTTCCCTCCACCTGGAATGTCCCTGGCCAAAGGTCACTAGGCCCTCAAGTAGCTATTAGCCTGACTAAAGCATTTTCAGAATGTGAAAGTGCCTTTGAAAATGGATGTGGCAGCTGCTCACATCGCCATTGGGTGGAGGGTCAATACCTTGAAAGAAAGAGACGTCCTTAAATATTTGATTTTTAACCAGGATGCGATTCTCTTGCTTGGGGTTTATTTCTTGGTGGCCAGCTGTTTCCCCTCCTGGTTCCTAATGTGCACCCTATGGCTTGTTCCCAAAGCTGGCAGAACAGCCTGTAGGAGTGAAGCGATTAGGGGAACTTCAGCTGTTTTGCTCCCTCTGAATGGACGCCTTTCATCATGAAATGCTGGGACAAGGGCCTTTTCAAAGCAAAATATCAGAGAAAGACGAGTGCCACAAGAGCCACTTGCTCTTTGGGTGGGACCATCGTCTGAGGAGGACTCTACTGCTGCCGTGGAAGAGCCCGCAGCCTCATCCTCACCTCCCGTGTCCTGTAGGGAGTGGACGGCAGGGGCTCGCCAGCACTTCATGTTTCAGAAGGGGCATTGAACATGTGAATTCTGCAGTCATGGACCTTTTTTATGTTTCTGACTTCTGCATCTTCCTTCGACCAGCTCGGTACCTCTGCTGTTCAGAGGCTTCCAGCCCGAATTAGTACGTATGAGCACTGCTGATTTCTGCTTCCTGCCAAGTATGAGATTCTGGGTGGCACTTGCTGGGTAGTTCCGAGGCCTGGGGTTTAGGGGAAGTGTTGTGAGGGCTGTGTTTGTCTTCGGTGTCTTTAGAAACTTTAATATTGTGAGGTCTTCCCAGAAGATGGCAGTCAGTGTCTAAGGACATATATGTATTGTGGAGATGGGGCGCTGAGCATGGTAGTCACAGGGGCACAGCCAGACCCTTGTTCATCCCTTGACAAGGTTTTCCTTAAAGCAGTGGAGGAGGACGGGTCCCTTTTGTTGTTCTGGGTCAGGGACTTCTGTCACTCTTTTTGGGACACTAAAACTTTTTTGAGAAGGCTAATTTTTCAGAGGCTTCCATGAATGACTAGTGGATTTGTGGGTTTCATGCCCTGGCTTCCTAGTAAGGTGGGTGCTGTCACCCACATGGATTTCTTAAAGGAGTTCCCTGGTGAGCACTCCGAGGTGCCAATGGATCCAGGTGCCGTACTTCTCTGTTACTAGAAGCACGGGAAGCCCTGGCCTGGGGAATAGTGCTCATCTGCCACTATCTGACTCACACGGAGGGCATGAGAGGCTGCGGGCTGGCAGTGAGCTAGGGAGCTAGGTCATGAAGGATATGTGCATCATCCCATGATGACCATGCTGTGCGGCCTCCTGCCCTCCCTGCTGGAGAGTTTCCTTCTGCTGTGTGCCTTACTGTATTTCCAGTTGACCTCAGCCTTGGAGCCTGTGCTCTCGAGCTTCCCTGCAGCATCAGTCTTGTTCCTTACAGGAAATGCCTGGCACTGACGATCAGGAGAACTCAGGCAGTGGTTCCAGGACCCCATGACTTCTCGGGGCAGGGGGAGGCTCCAGTCCTTGTCAGGCTGAGGAGCAGCTGGCTGCCTGTGTGGTCATCACAGGGTAAAACCAGCCTTTTAAATTTTTTTTTTCTTTCCTCCTTCATTGTTCCCTTTTTTCAAAAGGAAGTATAAGGGAAACCAAGGGGAATTTCTGCTTATGATTTCCAAGGCAAAGCTCGCTGTTTATGGTTGGCTGTTTCCAGAGTGCTCTGATTTCTGGTCAGTATGAATTTTTTTTTTTTTTTTCAAAAAGGTTGCTGTTACCTTAAGAAGATTTCTCAAGCTGTTTTGATGAACTGATTGTTGTTTTAGGTTTCATGGGCCAGGAGCTCCCAGCCTAGTTCTTTGGGATTTGGATGAGCATAAATAATAAATGTGTCCAGGCCAGAATAGTTTGAAAACCGATTTGGTTGGAAAATTCTAAGAAAGGAGATGGTGAGAAGTCTTAGGGGTGGGAAGGTGTAAGGGGCTTCTGCTGCCTGCTGATGGGGGAGCCTGGATCTCACTGGACCTGGTAGGTGCTTCCTGAGGGTGAGGAGACACTTCAGAGAAGGGCGTATCTCATTTTCTCAGTAAGTGTGATCCCTGAGCACAAATACATGACTGTCACTGGTGGAAAGGCCACCTTGGTGGTGTATCTGCAGTAGCAGGTGAAATAGTGGGTTCCGTGAAGTGTTGGTGTCATCAAACAGCCATTTGTCATCCTTCAGAGGTCTGGATGTGCGAGGACAGCCACACCGTGGTTTCATAGCTGGGTGTCTCTGTTTTCAGCATGAGAGTTTAGCCAGAAAAATAACAGATTATTGTGTCATGGACTTTATATCATAGAAAATAAGTTTCCAAAAGCAGCTGACTTACATGTTAGTTCATGTGCCATTTTCTTAGCACCTGGAGGTATATTCTAGAGGTAGCTGAGTTTTTGTTGCTGTTTGGTTTTTTTGTTTTTTTTTTTTTTTTTGGAGATAGGGTCTTTCTACGTAGTGCTGGCTGGCCTTAAACTCCCAATCGTTCTACTTCTGCCCCCCAAATACTGGGATTACAAGTGTGCAGCACTACACCTGACTTTAGCTGAGTTTTTTTATTCCAGGATATCAATGTTTAACTACAAACGTTAGGTGTTTGGGACAAAGATGACCTTGTTTTTTAATATTACAGCTAATATTTCTATTTCTGTCAGGAACTGATTTGCTTAAGTCCAAGGTTCTAGTTTTAAAGGCACTGCTTTTCCTTAAAGATTTTTCTTTCAGATCATTTATATGTTGGTTGGTGGCTCAAGAGAGAATTACTGTTTTGTTTTGTTTTTTGTTTCTTGTTGTTTGAATATTGGGGTTTGAACTCAGGACTTTGCACTCACTTGAATCATACCTCCAGCTGTTTTGGGTTTTTTTGGTTGTTTTTTTTTTTTTTTTGAGATGCAGGGTCTCATGTTTGCCCAGGGTGGCCTGAACCATGATCCTTCTGTTTTGCTCTTCTCGATGTTGCTGGGATGGCAGATGCATGCCATCACACCCAGCAATTGGTTCAGATGGGGTCTCCCAAAGTTTTTTTCTGGCTGACCTTGAACTGAGATCCTCCTGATCTCAGCCTCCCAAGTAGTAGGATTATAAATAGATCTGTATTTTGACAGATCTCTATGTGTATAATATGTCTATAATTTGAGCTGTGATCTAATTTCACAAAATTAATAAATTATTTATTTATTTATTTTTTTGGTGGGACTGGGGTTTGAACTTAGGGATTTGTACTTGCAAAGCAGGAGCTCTACCCTGAGCCACACCTCCAGTCCATTTTGCTCTGGTTATTTTGGAGATGGGGGCGTCTCATGAACTATTTGCCCAGGCTGGCCTGGAACTTCGATCCTCCCTATCTAAGTCTTCAAGTAGTTAGAATTATAGGTGTGAGCCACCTGTGCCTGGCTAAAATATAAGATTTTATATTTTGAAAATCAAAAATAGCCATTTAAAAAGTTAAGATGTGTTCAGTTTTTGAAAATACTAAGAAGTGGAAAGAAGATAATCCTAGATGACCCTGTTAATAGTTTTGGTATACTTTATGGGTGATTTTTATGACATTTTGTTTTTCTTTGTGGTACCGGGGCTTGAACTCAGGGCCTACACATTGAGCCACTCTGCCAGCCCTTCTTTGTGAAGGATTTTTGAGATAGTTATCTTGGGAACTATTTGCCTAGGCTGACTTTGAACCTTGATCCTCCTGATCTCTGCTTCCTGAGTAGCTAGGATTATATAATTAATAACTGGGCCTCCTATTTCATGTTTATTTTCTTTTTTCTTTTTTCTTTTTTTTGGTGGAACTGGGGTCTGGACTCAGGGCTTCACACTTGCAAAGCAGGTGCTCTACTGCTTGAGCCTGTCCATTTTGGTTATTTTGGAGATGGGGTCTTGTGAATTATTCGCCCAGACTGAACTGGAACTACAATCTCAGCCTCCCAAGTAGCTAGGATTATAGGTGTGAGTCACTGGCACCCAGCTCTAAGTTGTTTCTTGAGGTTTTTTGTTTGTTTTTGTTTTACCATGCTGGGCTCAAACTCGGCCTTATAGGCAAACCCAAGCAAGTGATCCACCATCACACCACATCCCTAGCCCTCAGTTTTATGTGACAGGGTCTCACTGTGTAGCCCAACTTGACCTTGAACTTGTGATCCTCCTGTCTTAGCCTCCAGAGTGCTGGAATTACAGGTGTGAATTACCACATCTGACTCAAAATGTTGTTTTTTGGGGGATCAAACCCAGGGCCTCAAACATGTTAGGCAACTGCTCTGCCATTGAGCTACACCCAGAGCCCTACTTGTAATTTCTTTTAAGTTTTAGGTTGAATACCAATGTTTTTGGCAGTTAAAGGAATGAAGGCCAAATACTCATTCTGCTGAGAAATTCAGTGGGTGAGTTTGAGTTTTCCTACAGGAATAGTGGACCGAGAAGCCAGGACTAAGTGAAATCACAGGTCTGAAGCTAGCCAGGTTCCTTAAGATACAAACAACTAGGGAAGGTGTAGTTTTGAGGGCAGCAAGAAGGGGTGAAGTGGATAAAAGTCAGAGAGTTAGAAGCTGAGACCAAACAGCAAGGGTGTGGAAAATTCAAAATGAATTTGCCCTTTGCTCTTTGGGGTCTCTGTTTTAGAAAATCCTTCACTTCAGTGAATCCCCTGTTTGGTGTCTGCAGGAAGGGGTTCTTGGTACTGGGAGAACACCCAGAACTGTGTGTTCCAGCAGAAAGCATTGCTTCACCATGAAAGCTGCATCCGCAAGCTTCTAGCAGAGGCAAGGCTTGGAGGAGCACTGTGTGAAGTTACAACAGACTTTCTCTCCTTTACCTTTCAGGTGCTCTTTGTCCTCTCTAAAGCTGTCCTCTGCAGTGTGCTCTGCATTTTCCCCATGGATGCAATCTAACTGTGCTCTGCTTTTCTCCTTCTCAGCCTGAGCGAGAGCTTCTTCATGGTGAAAGGAGCAGCCCTCTTCTTGCAGCAGGGATGTAGCCCTCAGGGCCATCGGAGTCTTCAGCACCCTCACAGGCATGCAGGTAACAGCTCCACCTCACTGCTCTTACCTTGGGGCTTCTTTTCTGGACAACAGAGTGACCTTGAGTGATCAGTGGGAAGCAATTTGCTGGCCTTGAGGCCAGAGAAGTAGTAAACACAGGTTCATAATGACTAGTGCAGTTGGAGTTCAGGTGTCCTTGGGGGGCACTAAAAGCCAGTGAGCCTTTGAAGCCATTTGTGTCTATGGGAGAAAGCTGGGGGGCAGCAAAGATACTTGCAGATATCAGCAAAGATATTTGCAGATAATCAGATAACTGCAGTGGGACTTGTGAACAAGTGGACCGAAATGTAGTGTAGCCAGATGTGTCCTTTGGAAAAATAAGGACCTGAGGTGCTGTGTGCCTACTTGGGGGACGCTGCCGTTTCTCTGGGCACTCAGATAACCCTCCTTTGGGTTATTTTGTCCTTAGGTTTAAACTGAGAGCCTCCAGCCTGACCACTTGAGCCATACCCTCCAGACCTTTTTGCTTTCGTTAATTTTCAGGGTAGGATCTCACTATTCTTTTTTTTTTTTTTTTTTTTTTTTGCAGTACTGGGGTTTGAACTCAGGGCCTCACACTTGCTAGGTAGGCACTCTTGCCACTTGAACCACTCCACCAGCAGAGTCTCACTTGTGTACAAGGAAGCATCATGGTTTATAGAAAGAATATTTGCTTTGGAGTTGGGTGTGGTGGTACACATCTATAATCCCAGCATTCAGGAGGCTGTGATGGGAGGACTGTGAGTTGGAGGCCACCCTGAGCTACATACTGAGACCTTGTCTAAAAAAAGAGAGAGAGAGAGAGAGAAGGAAGAAGGAAAAGAAAGGAAAAAAAGCAAAATACTGCTTTGAAGCCAGACAGTCCTGGCTTCTGAAGTTAGTTCTGTGACTTACTGAGCAATTCCAGTTGACTTCCGAGCCTCAGTCTCCTAATCTTCACAATGAGCACCAAATGCCTGAGACAATATGGAAATCAAAAGCGTCGCAGGTAAAATAGCTACCCTTCCAGTAAATGCCTTATGTGTGCATAAAACGTGTGTGTAATATGTATGTAGCTGTAACTATTGCCACAGTAACTTCTGATATCATAAAACCATACCTAACACCATCCTTCCCCAATTTGCTAGTGGTTCTGCCCCATTGTGAATTTGGCCATCGCTCATGTCTTAACTATCACGTACACAACAGAGCAAACGCTCTGTCTGTGCTACCAGGTATGAGGCCAGCTCGTTTACCTCTTGAATGCACACGAGGGTGGGAAGGAAGCTGCTGACTGGTTGGCTTTTCTGTCCCTGACGTCTGGAACCAACAGTGAGCTCAAGAGGGCAGAAAGGCCACCAGCTGTCCAGGGATAATCAGCAAATGATCTTGGAGTAGGTGCAGATTAAACTTTAAACTTTACATGCATTCCTTCTTTCCTACCACCAAGTGCGCAGGTGAACCACGGTCCCCTCGGTAATCCCTGAGGGTTAGTTCTGTCCATGGGAGAGGGATTCAGCTGGGTCCAGCCATCCAGTCGATGGGAGGCCTGTACCGAGCCTAGACGTTGGCTCAGATCTTCTGACTTGATTGCTGTGTGGATGGCAGACTACGGTTTGAATTGTGACCCCCATCAGTAATTCATAGCCCAGCCACCGATCCCACAAGAGGCGTGCATCTGTGTGGCACAGGCCTCTCTCAGTTGGGTGTGCTTTCCTCTATGTAGTTCTGTGACTTGGGGTGGATGGTAGAGGGCCTGGCAAGTGAGAAACCAACCTGTGGGGGCTGTGTGGCATCGTGGCACTGGAGACACAACAGGTGAGGTGCCACTTAAGTGGAGGAGAGGACTCTGGAGCTCCATATCCTTTCATGTGAATCATCATCTTCAGATCATTCCTCATGGAAAGCCATGCCTGGCGGGGGGTGGGGTGGAGTGGGAGGGGAGATGCATGCTATGTAATCCTGTCACTGCAAAGCACGGATATGAAGGGCATCTTTGTTTTTTTTAACATTTTATTTATTGTGGAAAGAACACTTAACATGAGATCTACCCTCCTGATTAGAGGAGCAAATTTCTAATGAGCTGATTTCTCACTGACACAGGAAGTGCAATTTAGACTTCATATGTCATTCTGTCTTGAGATGAGCAAGATGCTTTTACAAAAGGAACAAGTGCAACACTTGGAGCATTTGCTTGTGTAAGCAATGTCCATCCTCCCAGGACAGGATGCTCAGTGTGATCTGGAGGATCGTTTTTGGTGTTTTTTGTTGTTTGTTTGCAGTGTTGGGTATTAAACCCAGGACTTTGCAAATGCAAGACAACCACTCCACCACAGAGCTACATCCCCAAACTCCTATTGAGTAATTAAAAAAAAAATAGGGCTGGGCGCTGGTGGCTCACACCTGTCATCCTAGCTACTCAGGAGGCAGAGAACAGGAGGATTGCAGTTTGAAGCCAGCCTGGGCAAATAGTTCACAAGACCCTATCTTGAAAAAAACCCTTCATAAAAAAGGGCTGGTGGAGTGGCCCAGGGTACAGGCCCCAGTACCACAAAGAAAGAAAAAAAGGGAGGGAGGGACAGAGGGACAGAGGAAAGGGAAAGAAGGGTGGAAACCTGCCTTAGATTGGACACTCAGCATACAGCTGGTGCCTTATAGCATCACTTAGACATTTCCTCCCGGGAATAGAAACAATCTCTGACTCTTGTGAAAGATGCAGAAGAGCCATGCGCTGGTGGCTCATGCCTATAATCCTAGTTACTTGGGAGGCTGAGGTTGGGAGGATCATGGTTTAAGGTGAGCCCAGGCAAATAGTTTGCTAGACCCCCTCTCCAAAATAACCAGAGCAAAATAAACTGGAGGCATGGCTCAAGTGATAGAGCACCTGCTTTGCAAGTGTGAAGCCCTGAGTTCAAACCTCAATCTCATTAAAAAAAAGAAAATGCAGAAGAATTTGAAGAGTGACAGTGACAGTCAGTCCTTTCTCACATCACCCTGTGGCAAGTGTCTTGCTCCAGCCATGCTGTAGTTTCTGCTCCCCACCTTCCAAGAATTTTGCTTGAATGAAGTAACATTTTTTTCTGGGTTTGTGTGTATATTCCAAATTTTGTATTAAAAACACCCATTGCAAGTATTTCACGATGTAAGGGAAACTTTGAGCCGCGTGCTGGTGGCTCACACCTGTAGTCCTAGCTACTCAGGAGGCAGAGATCAGGAGGATCATGATTCTAAGCCAGCCTGGTGAAGGCCGTGAGTTCAAGCCCCAATACCGCAAAAATAAATAATTAAATAGAGAGAGAGAGAGAGAGAAACTTTGCACAACAGGACAGTGAGCTGTTCATTGCCCATCCCCTTCATAGTGTTCAGGAGGAGGAAAGATGGAGTTTGAGTGGTTACATAGAGAAATTTTATGGAGAGAAATTTTACTTAGAATCTTCTTCCAGCCGTTCAAGTCAACAAGTAGTCTTCTAACCGTTGTTCCCACAGGTGACCTGCCCCAACACCTGCAGGTGATGATCAACCTCCTGCGCTGTGAAGACAGAATCAAGCTGGTAAGGAGCTCAGAATGTACCCTCTCCTTTTTAATGGTGACAGTTGGTGGGGGTCGCTGTGACTGACAGGGGGAGGAGCTTCTGCGTAATTGTGCATTCTCCACATTGTTCACAAAGCCAGGGATGGAACTCACTCAGTGTAGCGCTCACACTTAGCACGGGCGAGGCCCTGTCCATCCCCAGCATTACAAAAAAAACCTCAAAGAAGCCAAAGCCAGCTCTGCTCCCATGCCTAGAGGGTTTAACAGAAGGGTGCGCCTGTTCCGTGGTGGTCTGTGCTGAATGGAACCCCTTTCTGTGGATTTCACTACTTGCTCGGCACACATTCTGGGTGGCCCCTGGGCTCCAGGCCTGTCTCTGATGTAGGGATGTAAGTGAGACCTTGCTTCTGCTCTCAAGAACTTGCTCTTCATTTCTTCCCTGGTGGAGGGAACGGTGCGGGGGAGGGAGGGAGGCCCCCCTGAGGGCCAGCCGCTGAGAGCCCTCATCCTGGTGCAGGCTGTGCGCCTGGAGAGCGCCTGGACGGACCGCGTCCGCTATATGGTTGTGGTGTACAGCAGTGGGCGCCAGGACACTGAGGAGAACATCTTGCTGGGAGTCGACTTCTCCAGTAAGGAAAGGTGAGTCTCGTAGGATGCTGGGGACAAGATTGCTGCTAGAAAAGGCTTCAGTGGTGTCCCATAGCCATGGAAGAGGAGTGGAATGTGGCGTGGTGGAGGGCAGGGGATGGGAAGGTACATTGTGTCAAATCTTGTGAGCCAGGTACTATGCCTAAGCCGATGTCTGCTGTCAGAGAACTCAGGGTCTACCGAAAGGACAGAACAATTACACTGTGTTCAGAGGTTTAACATTGGGAGCAATAGAAGAGGAAGGGTTTCAGTCCACTTTCTGTTGCTGTAGCAAAATACCAGAGGCTTGGTAGTTTATAAAGAAAAAAAGGTTTATTTACCTCACAGTTTTAGATACTGAAAGTACAAGATGAGGCAGCCCCATCTGTGTGGGGCTTGTGGCTGATGGCATCCCAGTGGTGGCATTGCATGCACTAGAGATCACATGAGATAGGAAGCCAGAGCAATCCAGGGGCCAGCCAGGTTCTTTTTATACCAACCTGCTCTCACGAGAACTAACTCATTATGAAGCCAGATTAATTCCTTCTGCGGGAGCATCCATGACCTAATTACCTTCCACCAGACCCCACTTTTCAGAGGTTTCACCACCTCCACACCACCACACTGGGGCCCAAGCTTCCAATGGGTGAACCTTTGGTGACACCTAAAACCACATCCAAACCATGGCAAGGAACCCCTTAGCCAGGGATGCTTCCCAAGGGAGGAACCGCTGTGGTGAGTACTGATAGTCCTGACAAGCTGGAGTCTGCTAAGTGGAGCAGGGGGGATGCCTTCTAGGCAGACGGACCCTTGAGGGAGTGTGTGCCTGGTCCAGTAGTGAATGGCACAGGGCCCTACATGCTTTTCACCAGATCCTTCTTCAGAGGCTTAAGCTTAGAGCTTAGAAGTTGTAGCATGGGCCTGTAGTGTGTGGAGTGGCTCAGTTCATATCTAGGAGACTGAGGCAGGTAAGGTCATTGCAAAGCCTGACTGTCAGAATGGCATTATCCATTACCTCACTGTATAAATACATCGACTGCTGGCACTCCCTGTGTGTGAGGCAGTGGGCTAGGCTCCACAGAAGCAAAGTAGCCACAGCACACAGCCATGGCCTCAAAGAACAGAGGCACTAGCAGCAGCCATGAGTGTGAGAGGCTGAGCGATGGAGTGATGCCCGGGCCCCAGAGAGAACCCAGGAGGAGTGGGTGATGCTCAGTGGGTCTTAGAGGACCAGTGGGCAGGGGCAAGGGTGTATCTGTAAAGTGGTTCAGGCAGAGTCAGTAGCAGGAGAAAAGTCCCATAAAGTGAATGGCCTCGGTGACTGTGCAGTCTTTCTCCCTACTAAGAGCAAGCTGCTGGGAGCCACAGGCTGGTACCCGAGCCTTTTCTTTTGTTAGTCATGAATGAAAAGGGGTGACTTTTCCTCCCAGAACCTCAGTGCACCGTGAGAAAGCTTTCTGCAGCACGCCGAAGGCGGTTGGAGTAGGAGCTGACATCCGTGACCTTGGCCCGCTTGGGAAATCAGAGTCTAGAACACGTAGTGTGCCTTTCTCAGGAGGGGAGCTCTGAAGAGCGGCTGGGTACACTGTCATGATGCCTGTAGGCAGATGCTGTCAAGTATAGTCAGAGGCCCATCTTTTTTGGCATGGTTGTGAGGCAGACATTAGTGTCTAACAGTACAGCAGTTGTTTTTTCAGACAAGAACAGGCATGCTCTGGGTGGTATAGCTGTAGACTGTGGTTGTTTCTTCGATGCTCACCCAGCCCTTTGGGACCTACCAGGGGCCGAGACATCTCTCTCCAGGTAGAGTCCATTCCAGTAGCCTCTCCTCATCCTCAACCAGAACCTGCCTCCTGGACCACACCCCTCATTTTAATCCTACATGTGGAAGCCTCTCCCTGTGTCCCCATTGCAGAGTAGAGTTGTCCCACGAACTCTCATTTAATCCTTAAATCACCCTGTGGGATAGGGAGCTCTGCTTTACATGGTACAAACGAGGAATCAATGCTCAAAGAGCTCAAGACCCTGGATACACCACGGTCATCCCAGTAAACAGCTGAGCTGGGACTCAGACCTGGGTATTCCCCACTCGTTCTTTCCCAGAGTGTTGCAGTTCTTGTATACACACTGTCTGTACTTGTTACCACGTATGTACGTGTAAATCCTTTCCACATGCCAAGTCCATCCAGGTGCTGGGGCTGCATCAGTAAGGGCATACATCACCTGTGTCCTCAAGTCCAAGGTCATGGATGGATGTTGGATGCACACATGTGCACCAGCTTCATTTCTCACCAGCTGGAGTAGATGGGCCCCACCCTTACGTGTCCTCCTCTTCCACCACATGCTTCCCCTTGGCGCCCTCTCCCTTTGGTCCAGTTGCCTCTACCACATGCACTGCCCTTAGGCCAGTGTCTCCCTGAGCTGCCTGATCCAGAGCCCCAGCCTGCCTGCGGGGCCAACTCAGGGCAGTTCAGGTGTCCTGTGTCTTGAGGGAAGGGTCACAAGACTGATAGGGAGTGGCTAAGGGACCTTACTGTCACTAGACCTGATAAAGCTGTACACGTGGTCCGTGCCTGGGTGTTACCCAGGCTGGGAACTGGTGTTCTGCTTCTGCGCTGTGTGGGCACCAGGTTCTTTTCTCTCTGGACCTGAAAACAAAGACCTGGTCCTCACCTGCTGTCTTTGGCCTGATGTGGCAGCTTACAGGGAGCTCAGGGCAGCCATCCACAATTCCATCTTGGGTTAACTTTGTTTCAGATTTTGAGTGCCCCCCCCCACATGTTAGTGTGTTGCCATCTATAAAGGGCTTCCACAGCAGGCTCTGTGACAGGCCTGTCTCCTGCTTGCACCTCCAGACCTGTCCAGGCCTAGTTGGCTTCTCTGTTCTTGCTGGCCTGGCCCCAAAGGCTTAGGACCTGCTTTCTTCTCTCACTCACTTTTTGCAGGGTCACTCTTCGCCTGAACAGATACAGTTTCCACATGTCCTCCCCCTGTTCCCAGATGTATGACCCCATAGCCACTCCGTCATTTTAGAAACTTTCTTAGTCACTATAGGACTACTAGAGACACAAAAATACCAGCCATAGGACGGGAGGGAACATAACACGTGGAGTTGTGTCATGGCTCCTAGGTAGTGCTCAGGCTCTAGTCCTGTGGACTTTGGCCTACTCACCTGCATCCCCCTGCCAGTGTCTAAGGGAGGCCACTTGAGGTTCCTCTTGTTTCATAAGGACATTCTCAGCCTGTGCCTGGACCTTTGGCCTCTCAATCTATGTTCCTTGTAGCTCTATGCTGTGATCTGTTCTCTATAGCTCCTGGTGTGGGTTGTGAGGGCTTAGGTCGGGCCTTCCAGGCCTGCCCACACATTCCCAGGACACCTGCCTGGACTTTGTGCATGTCATATTGTGCTCCAGAAAATAACCACTTTCTGGTGCTGGCACAAGTGAGTGGTCCTGAGAGAATCCAATCTTATTTTGCAGCCGTACAAGAGAGATGTAGGGAGCCTATTGAGACTGGGTGGCACTGCAGGAGGGGGAATTGGAAAATTTGCCCAACGCAAAAGGCTTCGTGCAGTTTGACCTAACTGCCTTGACACTACCTTCCTGGAAGATACAGAAGTGCAGTATGGCAGGGGGCATGCTTAGCGGGCAGTGCTTAGAAGAGGAGCTGGTTTTCTGAGCACCTGAGCTCCCTGTGCGCAGGTGCGGGAAGCAGCATATTACACATGCTCCAAGAATTTCCATCCTCATCTGAGGAGACCCTGTGATAAGCCCGTTCTGTCTCTCTTTCTCAGTGGCGCCAGTCTCGAAAGTCGGTAAGTATCATTTCACTGTTAGGATGGGCAAAACAAAACCAGATTAAGCTAGTTTATAAAATGGCAGTTGCCCAAAAGGTAGAAAAACAGAAGTCTGAACATGAGCTGCAGTCATGGTGTGGGTGCCCTCCCCTTTCCCCCAGGGCAGGCAGAGCTGGGGTTGGCTGCCCTGCTTGCTCATGTACCTCAGGTGGGTATGGCCCTCTGCCAGTCCTCTCCACTGCAGTGTGGGCATGTGGCCAGCTGGATGTTCCCAGTACCCCAAGAGGCTGAGCCGGCTTATGGAGTGGCATGCCTATGAAGATGGTGCGGCCATTCGGTGCCTTGCTCTCGCAAGGCCATTCCAGACTGTGTCTTCTAGAATCCAGCAGTGAGGGGACCCTGCCCAGGCAGCCTGACCCTGGTCAGTGGTTGTCTGTGATCTGGACAGGCTTGGTGCAGAGACTGAGGGAAGATTGCAGGTATATGTGGGTGGCTGCTGACTCTAGATGCCTTCTCTTCCCCATGCAGTAAAAGCTGCACCATTGGCATGGTTCTCCGGCTGTGGAGTGACACGAAGATCCACCTTGATGGAGACGGGTAAGATCTTTCCACGTCTCGGAGAGATTCCTATTGTAGACCCCAAGCCAGGAGCTGGTGGGCATCCTGGGGTAATCCCACTGTCCAGTGGATTGCACTAGGAGTGCCACAGCTCTCCCACAAGCCACGTGGAAAGGCACACTTTGCACATTCTATAAGGAAGTTTAGCTCATGAGGTATCCCTGGAAGCATGTGACACGAGGCTGCTGCTGAGTGAAGTTCACAAGCTGCAGCCAGGGACTGGGGATGGAGCTCAGCAGTGAAGCGTTTGTCTAGCATGCGCCGAGCCTGGAGCGTGATCCCAGTACCACAAAAAATAATAATAATAATAAAAAAGAGCAGCAACCAACTGACACTTGTCCATTTGCGTGGATTTTTAAGCACATGCTCTCTGCGTGCCCTCTGTGGGCTAGGACTGAAAGTTCACAGACAGGTGTCACACAGCATAACTCATTATTTTGGCAGTTACCAGGAAGAGTCATACCATTGACAGGTGTAGCAGTGTTTTAGGGGCCAGTTCAGGGACCCCAAAAGTAAAATTATGCAGCCTGGGCAGGTTGACAAGAGATGACCATTCCTCTGCGTTCCCTCCCAGGGAAGTGCATGGATGCTCTGGTGAACGGCGAGAAGTGAAGGAAGTTATCCTACACTGGGATTACAAGCAGGTGAAAGTCACCTGACCTCACAGACAGGGCTGGGAGGGAAAACTTGATTTTTGAGTGGTGCGGTTGTGAGAATGTTTTGTTTTTTTAAAAATTGTGTTTTTCATGAGTATATTTTCATGCTGTTACCAAAAAAAAAAAAAGCGTGTAGTGCCTGAGGTAGCAGGTGGGCTGGGACAGTTGTGGAAATGAGAAGAGATGCCACCTTGCCTGGCACCCCTTGCTGGACTTGGAGTTCTTGGTAGAATTCACCACGCTGGCTTAAAAACAAGTCTTCCTAGCTGGGCACTGGTGGTTCGCGCCTATAATCCTTGCTACTCAGGTGGCAGAGATCAGGAGGATTGCAGTTCGAAGCCAACCCCAGCAAATAGTTCTCTAGGTCCTATCTTGAAAATATCCATCACAAAAAAGGGCTGGTGGAATGGCTCAAAGTGTAGGCCCTGAGTTCAAGACCCAGTACTGCAAGACAAAAAAACAAGTCTTCCTTACTTGCAAGCAGACTTTCTGGTTTTTCCCTTGGCTAATCAGAGTCCGCAGTGGGCCTGCTCCCAGTGTCTCAAAGTGACTTGATTCAAAGGGCTTGAGTTCTCAGCACAGTCTTTCCTTTTGTTTTTCTTTTCAGGGGGTTCAGCGTGAGCACAGCAGGAAGAATGCACATATTTAAGCCTGTATCTGTCCAGGCCATGTGGTAAGTGTGAATAGAAACAATGCTTCCCAGAAGCTCGTGGAGGAGAGTATGTGGCAGAACAGTCCTCACGTAAAATGTGCCATTCTAAGCTTTTCGAGTATTCTGTGCAGGGGCAGTGAGTACATTGTGCAGGCCCCGCCCATTCCAGAACTCTCATCATCCCAGACAGGCTCTGCACCATTAAACCAATAACTTTCTCTTCTCCCTGAGGCGCCGGTAACCCCTATTCTTTTATGTCTGTGAGTTTCCCTATTCCAGGAACTTAAAAGAAGTGCAATCATACAGTATTTCTTACTGCTTTCACTTAGCATAAAGTTTTTAAGGTTCATTCATGTTTGAACATACATCAGTTCTTTTTTTCTTTCTGTGGGACTGGGGTTTGAACTGAGGGCTTCAGGCACTCTGGCTTGAGTCACACCTCCAGTCTGTTTTGCTGTGGTTAGTTTGAAGGTGTGGTCTCTTGAACTAATTATGTGGGCTGGCCTCGAACCTCAAACCTCCTGAGCTCAGCCTCCCAAGTAGCTAGGATTGCAGGTGTGAGCCACTGGTGCCTTCAGGGTTGTTCCCACCCATGGTTCTTGTGAGTAATCCTGCTCTGATCATCGTGAACATTTGCTGGAGGCTCTGCTTTCAGTTCTCTTAAGGATATACCTGTTGAGTCAAATTGCTAGACTAGATGCTCTAGCATTTGGAGAGCCACCAAACTGTTCTCCACGATGGCTGGTCCGTTTACACTCCCATCAGCAAAGCATAAGTGTTCCGATTTCCTTGTGCCCTTGTCAACTTGCTACGTGTATATGATATAAACATGACCATTGTAGTGCTGCAAAGCATTTCCTCAATGATGGTTAACACTGGGCATTTTTTCATGTGGTTATCTACCACATATGTCTTTATTAGGAAATGTCTGTTCCCATTTTTAGTTGTGTAATTGCTGCATGTCTGCAGCTCATGATGAAATATCATTCTGCCATACTCACTTATCTCTTGTACCTGGTATATGGTAGGTGCTCAGTCTGTGCACTGAAGGAACTGACACTGCTAGCACAGAACATGGCATGGGGGGGGGTGGCCATAAAATGCATGTGATTCTGTCTTGGTGGGGTTTAAAGTCTGTTGAAGAACAAGCGCAGTGGCTCATATATATAATCCCAGCTACTCAGGAGGCAGAAATAAGGAGGATCACTGTTTGAGGTCATCCTAGGTAAACCCTTTATCAACCAACAAGCCAGGCATGGTGGTGTGTGCCTGATATCCCAGCTACGCAGGAGGCATGGTAGGAAGATTTTGGTGCAAGGTCAGCCTGGGCAAAAAGTACAAGACCCTATCTGAAAAATATCCTGACAGCAAAAAGGCCTGAGATGTGGCTCAAGTGATAGAGCACTTGTCTAGCAAGTGCAGGGCCATGAGTTTAATCCCCAGTGCTGCCAAAAAATAAACAAAAATAGTCTGTTGAGCAGGTGGCCACCAGCACTGAGCAGTCGTATGTTTTGCCAAGGGGCTGGGAAGCACGTTCTCACAGGGTGTCAGGGTTCAGAGTACTGGCTGTGGGGACCAGCTCTTAGGTTGCAGCAGCGGTGAGTAAATGCCACCCTGGATGAGTAGGTCATGCCTACATCTCCCCAGACTCCATTCATCTGCCAGTCTTCTTCCTGTGGGGTTGCATATAGTGTTCATTGCTCACCAGATAAGCTGCAGAAAACCAAAAGCACTGCTAGTGCCAGGGGAGAAGGGTCTGCCAGCGTTCCAGAGAGAATCCACTTTCCTCTGGATGGTGAGAGTTATGTAGAGTTCTCCCTTTCACAAGTTAGTGTTGTGCCTCACTTTTCCAATCACTTTGGGGAAAATCATGAAATCACTATTGTGTGTGTGTGTGTGTGTGTGTGTGTGTGTGTGGTATTGGCATTTGAACTCAGGGCCTCACGCTTGCTAGGCAGGTGCTTTACCACTTGAGCCACTCCACCAACCTCCATGAAATCATAATTCTAGCTGATGAACCAATAGATACCTGAGATGTTCCTGGATAATTTCTTCTGTCTTTCTCTCTAGGGAAAAAGTAAATAAATAAATCCACGTTTTTCTAAAAAGTAAACATTTAGCTCAAAGCTGATTTCTCCAAGCAGCCTAGAACTAGGACAGCCCATACAGCTGCGAAAAGGAGACGCTTGCTAGACAGTGTGCACCACTCTGTGGACTACTCCCTCCCAAGTCCTCTTCCACCCTCCACTGGTCCTTCATTCACCCCATCGGATGACAACTTTCCAGCCTGAGTTTTTGTAAAAAGAACTAAAAGAGGGTGACTAAATAAAGCACATACATTTTCAGTATTGTTTTTTCTGCCCCACTCTGCTTCCTGAAACCTCCTTTCAGTTGGTTTCTGTATTAAAATGGAGTTTCTAGGACTCGTTCCTGTAAGAAATCTAAGCTATTATCGCATTGGGAGGTGGTGGGGAGGTGAGCAGCGAAGTCATTAAGGATGCAGTCAGATGTCTGCTGAAAGCCTTTTTTCCCTGCTGCGGGGCTTCTTGTGGCTCCTGCATGAGGTTACCACCTCAGAAGTAAATCTTCATTCTTTGCAGTTAATTGATGGAGTGTGAAGTAACATCGAGCCAGCCTATTAGGAGAACTTACCAAATTCTAGGGGGTTTTTGTTTGGTTTTGTCCCTTTGGAAATGGTGAGGGTTGCTCTTTCCACTGGTGACTTGGTTGCTGCAGAAGTACCGAGACTGTTCTGGGAGCCAGCAGTTGTAAATTTGGGCTGTCGTGTCTCCTACAGGCCAACAAGACTACAAGAGTCCATCCTTTATGAAGGGCTGCCCACTGCCCTGTCCCTCTGTGGGAGGCAGAACCAGCCCCTCTTGTACTTTCCCAGGCCTGACTCTCCCCTTTCCCCCATCCCCCCTCGCAGGTCTGCCCTTCAAGTGCTTCACAAGGCCTGTGAGGTGGCACGGAGGCACAACTACTTCCCTGGGGGCGTGGCTCTCATCTGGGCCACCTACTACGAGAGCTGCATCTGTTCAGAGCAGAGTTGCATCAACGAGTGGAACGCCATGCAGGACCTGGAGTCCACGCGGCCCGACTCCCCGGCCCTGTTTGTCGACAAGTACGTGTGCCCATCTCCCCACCCAACGGCCGACATGAACCAGCACAAGGCCATGTCTCCCTGCAGTCCCTTGACTGAGAGCTGCCTTCCCAGAACCAGTTCTTACAGCTGTGTCCTACTCTGGGGCCCAAGGGTGGTCTTTGTTGCAAGAAGGGTCTGTGCTACACAGCCCTTTAAAATTATAGACAGACTTGGTGAGTGCAGTTCTGGGGAGCAAGTCCCTGACCTCCATCACATCCCCACAGGAACGCACTGCCTTGTATGTCATGTGCTTCGGTGGTGTTCTGTGTCCAGGCTTTTCCTCTTCGAGGTTGCCAGTGACTTGATTTCCAAAGCCTGCTCTGTTCTTAGGAAAATCATAAATTCAGCCTCTGCTTCCTTGGGTCCCTTGATCACCCGGCAAAGCACACAGCCTGTGTCATATGACCCAAGGCCGTGCTTTTCAAAGTGTAGTTTGAGAAGAGGGAAGCTGTGCCTTGCTTCTCTCTTGGTCAAGGTCCGGTTCTCCTGCAGCGGGTGTCCTGTTAGACACTGTTTTCAAGAAGGCTGTGGGCAAGCCACGTGTGTCCAGAGGACAGCAGCCTGAAAGACCATAAGTCACAAGACAGGAAGGGAGAAATGACTGCTTTGACCATTTGAAGGGTCGTCCTGGGGAAAAGGATTGCTCTGGGCTGTGTGGCCTCAGAGTTCATTGTTAACACCAGGGCTCAGGGAAGTCATGGATTCTGGTTGCATGTGACAGAAGTTAGGAGCTGGACACAACTGGGCCAGGCTGTGCATCCAGGTGTGTTCAGGTGGGACCAAAGGGCCCTGTGGGGGCGGAGGAGATGTTCTGCTGGCAGGTCCAGCGTCCTGCCCTAAAGGTCTCTGACACTTCAGGGCATGAATGGGAGTTGAGGGTAACTTTCCAAATGGTCCCCTGTCTTCTGACCCACTTTGGACTCCTGGAAACTCTCGAGATGGAACTGGCTTCTGTACCTCTCCTGACCCTTAGAACAGCACAGCCAGAAGGGCCTCTAGTGCCCAGCCACACACTCTGTTAGACCCCTGGTGCCTGGTGTTTCTGTGACTCTGGCCTCCTGTTCTTCTGCGCTTGTGCCATTTCTTTATTTCTTTCCAGGCCGACTGAAGGGGAAAGAACTGAGCGTCTCATCAAAGCCAAACTCCGAAGCATCATGATGACCCAGGATCTTGAAAATGTGACTTCCAAAGAAGTAAGAGGACTCTTCCTGTTACAGCAGGCCGGAGCCATTCATTTATCCTGCTGCCAAAAGCACAGAGGGAGCCCATGGCCCCCGGATGTCCTTAGATCTGCTTGCTGCCTTTAGGAGGCTCCTCCCTTGCTCTGCGGTGGCAGCAGGGCTGGGGGAGGAGCACAGGGACTGGAGTCAGGCTCCAGTTTGATTCCAGAGCTGCTGCTAGTAAAGCTGTGACACCTGGGGCCATCCATCAAATCCCATTTGGACATTTGTTGTCCTCTCTGAGCCTCACTTACACGACCTTTGGTGGCAACTCCATGCGTGTTTACCTCTGCTGCCCTCCCACCTGCCTCTCAGTGCCTTGTGTTTGATGTGGACCAGCAGAAGCCCTTCTGCACTTCACTGGCTAGCAAGCTGTAAATCCTCACCTGTCTTCTCTTTCTTTTACCCATTGCTTTTTCTTCCAAGACACGGTGTATTATAGTAACAGCATAAGCCAGGTGGACTTAAGAAGTTGAAATCACTATTTTAAAAAGCCAAATACTACCTTTTTTATTAATGAATACTTTTTATTGGTTTTTGTTTGTTTTGTTTTGAGACAGGGTCTTGCTGTGTAACCCAGGCTGACCTCAAACTTTCAGCCTTCCAAATGCTGGAATTTCAGGCATGCACTATCATGTCTGGCTTAATACACTTAAAATCATACTGTGATACCTTCTCAAGCATGAAAAAACTGGCTTTACATTTTCACTGATGCGTTTGCTACTGAATTTTAAAAGTGTAAGTGCTTTAAACTCAATAGAAAAGATTTCATGATAACTGGATTCCTTGTTTGGGATAAAAAACTCCTTCCAGTTACTTGTACGCTAAGTGATCCACATTCCTGCCACCTACATGTGTGTCTAAATGGGTTATTCTAGAGAAAAATAAAAACAAACAAACAAAAAATAACCCTCTTTGTAAACAGCCATACTTCAATAGCTTGGAGGAGGGAGCTGTTGTCTTTAACCAGTCAGTTTTCTAATATTTTCTGCCCCACAGATCCGTAATGAATTGGAGAAACAGATGAACTGTAACTTGAAAGAATTCAAGGAATTCATCGACAATGAGATGCTCCTTATCTTGGGACAGATGGACAAGCCTTCTCTTATCTTTGATCATCTTTATCTAGTAAGAGGCACAGCCTGAGGCATTATCTGGTTGGGAATCCTAAATCAGACTTACTGTTGGGAACTTGCAGAAGTCAGAAAGGCAGGCAGAAAGCTGCTTTTGGGGAGCCCTGCCATGACCCCTTCTCTGCCCACAGCCTGCTGGTCTCTCTGTAGTCAGATGCTTGAGATGCAGCTGAGCAGCAGGAGTAGTTTGGGAATGATTTGACATTGACAGCTGGCATGGCTCTTTGTCCTCTCCTGTCCCTAACACATAGGCCCTACAATTACCTCCAAATGGGTCACAGGCCACAAAATGCCCCCATTACTAAAGGGCACACTAAGCATCTGAGACCTGAGAAAGAAGCAGGCAGACAGAGCCTGCAACTAACCATAGCTTCCCCTGTGGGCCTGTCTAGGCAGCTGCTCTCAGGCCACTGTAGGAGTCCACCTCAGTCACGGAGCTCTGGGTGGCTTGTGCTGATTCTCCGTGCCCCCAGCTCATGCTCAGAGTGTCTTCTTGCCAGAAATCTCCATAGAAGGCAACTGGCAAGGTTTCAAAGGCAGGCACGTTACTAAAATTAGAGAGGCGGCCACGGGATGGAGTGAAACTGAGACTCAGCAGGACTGAGTTCCCGCTCTTCTGCCTCACCTGCTCAGTGACCTGCAGCAAGTCCCTTCACCTCCCTTTTCCTTCCTGCTGGACCCATGGGCTAATTCTGGGATCAGTAAGACTCACACCGAGTTACCCAGTACAGTTACTGTAGGCTTGGCTGTGAAGGGTAGCCATGGCTGGAGCAGTGTTGGTTAGGGAAGCTGAGGGAGGAGGGCACTGGCTGTTGAGACAACGGATGGTTGTCTCCTCCCCTGTGGGTACCTCCCATTGCTCCGCCATGATGCCTGCATAGATGCATGTGTTTTAATGCACTTATGTGTAAGTCTTCTTATGTATAGATTTCATGCTTAGACATGTTGTATGTGGCCATATGGATTTGAAGGCTAAGTTTTGGAAGACACAGTGGGAGCTCTGGGCTGATCTCCCTAAAGCCTTGGGAGGCACCTCCCTCCCGGCTCGCCACCAGATGGTGGTCACAGCCAGAGGGCGCTCTCGGCCTTCCTGGAGCCCTGCTCATTTTTTTGCCATATGGTTTGGTACTTTATGTCACTTTTTCCATAACAGATATTAAAGGAATCTTTATGGCTGAGGTTCTCCTTCAAATATGAAAATCCAGCTCGCCCCACACAGTGCCAGTGTGGCCCAAGTCCCTGGCCCAAGGGACCTGAGCTCTTGGGAGCTCAGGAGGGAAGTTTGCAGGGACACTAAGATTCTATGCATCTTTCCCCTTGTAACTATGCCACCTGCACTTCCTAAGAGCAAAGGATCAACTTCCCTCCCATGTTCTTTGAGTGTTCAGGAATAGAGGAGTTTATAATAATAACATTTTTCAAAGTATTAACACATGTACAAAGCTGGAAGTATGAATCTGTCCAAAGAAGAAGAAAAAAGCCCTTCTCACATGCATTTTGGTGTATTTATTTGCCCAATTTCTGGTTTGGGGGCTTTGGTTTTTTTTTATTTGTTTGGGTTTGGTTTTTTTTTGCCGTGTTGGGAATTAAACCTAGGGCCTTTCCATTTGGGTTTCCTCAGTGCCCATACAGCTTCTTAAAAAGAAAGAAAAGGAACCAGTCATACTGTTTATGTTTAGATACTTTTGTACCCTGCTTTTCTTTTTCATTTTTTTTCCTTGTGTGGCACTTTCTTATGCCACCAAGTAGTCTCCAGAAGGATGATTTACATTAAGGGCCACATCGCAAGCCTCTTTCACCACTTATTTTATTGATTTCTTCCTGTTGGACCTTTGGGCTATTTCCATTGTTTCATTATGAATAACCGTAAATATCCTTGTCCTTAAATCTCTGTGTGAATTCTGGTCATTTCCTCAGGATAGCTTTTTGTAAGGTGGAAATTCTGGGTCAGAGAGTAAGAACTTTTATTATATTGCCAAAATACTTCCCAGAAAAAGCAGGAGATTTCCCAGTGTAATTAGAGATGAGGAGGACATGGTCACTGCCTCTGTTGGCCCAAGCAGTGAGAGGGGAGCAGGTTTCCCTAAGGCCAGGGTCAAGTGAGGGCTGCACCCCTCTCTCCATTCCTCCCTTCCACTCTGTGAGGCCTGAGGACCTAGGAACCGCTCGGATTTCAGCCTCTTGTTCTCTCTGGTCTGGAGGTCAAGGCCCTACCGTCAGGATTAGAGCAACCCATGCATCCATACAGCTCCAGGGCTGCTGTGTGACACTCACAGGGTTTGTGTGATCTGTCCCCCAGGGCTCTGAATGGAATGCGTCCAATCTGGAGGAACTGCAGGGCTCAGGGTGAGTCTGCTCCCCTTGTCTCCCCCTGTCCTTCCAGGCAGTTTAGGAAGCCTCTGTTGACCCTGGGCGTTCAGAACTTGGGCCGCCTGCCTCTGTTGCTCTGTTGCCTCGCCCTGGTCTCTGGAGTGGCTGGAGGGCTGATTTGCATAACTAAACAGATGTGCTTAAAATGCCACATCCTGAGTAATTCATGGATTTTAAATTTTCCCGGAGTCTTGTGTGATTGTGGCACAGGACAGCCTGGACCTGGCAGTGCTCTGAGCTCCCCGCCCCGGCCTTGTACCCTGCTGAGCTGCTGAGAATCCCGGTGTGGACGCGTGGCCAGTCAGCAGCCCTGGAAACAGGACCGTGCCTGGCTTTGTCTGAGGTTACACTTTTGGGCCTGGTGGGAGTCTCGAAAGTAAATCCTCGGTGTTGGGCAGAAGCGTCTACCCGCTTCAGAGATGCCCACAGCCAAATGAAAGGGCTGAACCCGAGCCCTTCAACAGCGGACGTCTGGACTTTCAAAAAACAACACAGCCACAAAATCACCATTTCTCTGGGTCTGACATGATGGCATTCTGGAATTACTACATTTGAAAACCAAGACTAAACAAATCTTAAAATACATCTGTAAAAGTACCAGTTCATATGGTTCTCCCAAGACCGAGAGAGTGTTCTGCAAAGGTGGGGCCGCACTCCAGCCATGCCTCTACCCAACTGGGAATAGATGGGTGACTTAGTGTAATATAAATACGGTATCTTCAGCTCCTGAAATCATTTTGATTTTCCAGAAATGAAAGTACTAGTAGTTAAGCGTAGGAACCTACCAAACCTAGGTTAGTATACTCTCTCAAATACTTATTTATATCTTGCCTTGTTTTAAAAAAGATGTAAGGTACTTCCCCAGGACATAAATAATGGGTGGGTATATTCTGCTTCTTAATTATTTAAGAGTGATTTGGGTTTTTTTTTTTTCCTTCTGTATTTGATTTTTTGTTGTTTTTGACTTTGCTGGGAATTAACTCAGGACCTAACTTGCTAGGAAAGTGCCCTACCACTTAAGCCACACCCTCAGCCCCGGGTTTATTTTTTATTTATTTACTTGTTTTTAAGACAATCTTCAGTCTCACTAAGTAGCCTAGGCTAACCTCAAACTCATTTTCCTCTCAAGTGCTGGGATTACAGACATATACCACCACACCTGGCTTGTTTGTTGAGATGGAGTTCTCAATAACTTTTTCAGCCTGGGCTGGCCTCAAATGGTGATCCTCCCATCTCCACCTGCCAGATAGGTAGGATTGTAGGCATGCTCCCAGCTTGTTGTATTTTTTTTTCAAGTCTCTGTATACCATTAATAGTTATAAATTTTAGAACTTTAAGCAGCTTAGAAGTATACTTCAGTAACATGTTTACTTTGCAGAATTAATATTGCTTAGCAATGCTTTTTAAACTGAGTTTTCTTATAAGGTTTTTTCAATAAAGAGATTTTTTTGGTGTGACACTATGGAAGGGGCTATAAAATTACTATTAGGGAAAAGCAGAAGTCCCGCCACAAACACAAACATAAATACACCCTTTATTCGTGTATTTTTAACATTTTTCTCTGCCAGTTTTTGTTACTTTGTTCTTTGTAATTTCTTATTCTGAGTCTCCATTTTTTTTTTCTTTATTTTTTCTCATTGCAGGGTAGACTACATTTTAAATGTCACCAGAGAAATAGACAACTTCTTTCCGGGCTTGTTTGCGTATCATAACATCCGAGTCTATGACGAGGAGACCACAGACCTTCTTGCCCACTGGAATGAAGCATATCATTTTATAAACAAAGCAAAGTAAGTGGGTGGGGAAGCCGGCCAGAGGAGGAGACTGGCTGCTGAGGCCGGGTGGGCAGAAGGAGGAGGGCTTGATGGCTGGCGGCCCTTTGGTTTTGGCCACAGGACCCCAAAGGGAAACTGTTGGTCTTCTGCAGGTGGAGTTCTGATGAGCTCCCTCCCCCTCGATGATTCTCATGCAGCACTGGTTCCCGCAGGGCAGCAGTACCCAGTGTGCAGTGGGGAGCTCTCCCCCTTGGGAGCTCCTGGGTCAGCCAAGAGCTGAAGGACGGCTAGCACCAATGGGGTTTAGAGCCCTCAAGAACACCCCACAGGATGTGGGCTATCTCTTTTCCTGAGTTAGGGACATGTTCCTGTGTGCCTAGTATGAGACAGACCCCTAAGCCCCTCAGTGGTCCTGCCCGTTCTTAATGAATTCCAGAGAAGGAGATAACCCTGGAGATGCTATCAAGAAAAACACCCAGCCAGGTGCAGTGACTCACACCTGTTATCCTAGCTACTCAGGGGGCAGAGATCAGAAGGATCAGTTAGAAGCCAGCCCTGGCAGACAGTTCACCAGACCCTATCTCGAAGAAACCCATCACAAAAAAGGGCTGATGGAGTGGCTCAAGGTGTACGCCCTGAGTTCAAACCCCAGCACTGCAAAAAAATAAATAAGAAAAGGAAAAACACCTACTGGGGCACTGGTAGTTCATGCCTATAATCCTGGCTACTGGCAGGCAGAGATCGGTAGGATCATGGTTCAAAGCCAGTCCCAGCAAATAGTTCTTAGACCCTATCTCAAAAAAAATCTATCCCAAAAAAAGTGTTGGTGGAGTGGTAGCAAGCGTGAAGCTTTGAGTTCAAACCCCAGTACCACCAGAAGAAAAAAAAAAGAACACTTTCTTCCTTTGTAGCCCTTCAGGTCAAAGCTACAAGGCATGTTCTTACCAAATTATAGTTCTCTTGCTCCTCCAGGAGACAGACTCAGCTCCATATGGAGACTGCAGTCAAAGGTACAGATTTGGGGCATAGAAAGCTGGAGCCTTTTCCCAGGGGGTCTGTCTTCTGTAAAAAGGAAGTTTCATAGTGCAGCTCAGCGTGCCCTTCTGGTCTTCAGCAGGCAGTGCTTAGAGGAGCCTCATCCCTGCCCTGCATATCTGCTAGATCAGCATGTCTGGCCAGCACTGCCTCCTTACAAGTAACAGATCAGCCCCATCTTCCTGCTGGCTTCGCTCTCTCTTGGCCTGGCTGAAGCTGGGCTGCTCCTTGCCCCCAGCCCTCTTATCTGAAGGGCATCAGCACTGTGCTCTCCCCAGAGCCCAGCAGTTTCATTTCACTGACCTCATTTTCTACATAGCTCACTTAGCACCTCCATCTGCTATAGCAGGGGTGCAGCGTTTACAGAAATCCCTGTAGCTTCTCAGGCTTCCCAGGAAAGGCTGTGGGTGGCCTTGCCTGTCACAGGCACTAGGAAGAGTCCCACTTTGTCCCTGTAGGCAGTGAGCGCCCTTTACAGCTCTGGCTGTGATACGGGCCGGGCCAGGGCAGGTTTCTCTTGCTTTCCCAGCCAAGTTATTTCCTTTAGAGGCTGTGTGGAATCTGCCCCAGAGCAGGATGACGTGGGTGGGTCTGGGCTGGGAGATAGCTTCAGGCTTAGAAAAATCAGGTGGTAAAAATGAAGTTGTGGAAGACTTTTCATCCCTGCTCCCCCTCTCGCTTCCCCCCGCCCATCAGAAGGAACCATTCCAAATGCCTGGTCCACTGCAAAATGGGCGTCAGCCGATCTGCATCCACGGTCATAGCCTACGCAATGAAGGAATTTGGCTGGCCACTGGAGAAAGCGTACAACTACGTGAAGCAGAAGCGGAGCATCGCACGGCCCAACGCCGGCTTCATGAGGCAGCTGTCTGAGTATGAAGGCATCTTGGATGCTAGGTGGGTGCCTGCCTGGGGATTCGGGCTGGCAGCAGCTTCTGCAGCTAAAAGCCTGCCTCTCTGGGGAGCGGGTGTGAGAAGAACTGCTATTGTTTGGGCTTTGATTAGTGGTTTCCAGGAGGGATCTGTTTTGGTTTTGTTGGCACACACAGAAAGCTTTTTGCTGCTAGAGGGAAAGTGCCTGACTTCCCATTCAAGGCAGCTCACTACTAGTGTGTGGTGTGAGCATGGGCCCATTGTTTCCTGAGTACCCGCTTTGTGCCAAGACCTGGGAGCAAGCTTTTTTTTTGTTTTTTTTTTAACAGTACTGGGGCTTGAACTCAGGGCCTACACCTTCAGCCACTCCACCAACCCTTTTTGTGTTAGGTATTTTTGAGATAGAGTCTCAAGAACTATTTGCCTTGGCTGACTTCAAACCACAATCCTCCTGATCTCTGCCTCCTGAGTAGCTAGGATTGTAGGCGAGAGTCACTGGCACCCAGGCAGGGCAGGCCAAGAGACCTCAAAGGCTGGCGGCCAGGTTCCACCAGGGATAGATGTACTGGGCAATCAGGTGAGCTCACTGATCTCCCCAAGCCTGGGTTCCCTCTTCTACTTTAAGGATTAGTGCCCGCCTGAATGTCAAACACAGCAGACACTGTGGAAAATGGTAGGGTGGTCCTACCAAAAACTAAAAAGAAAGCTACTATCTGATGCAGCAGTTCCACTGTGGGTGAAAGTGAAAGCCGTGCTCAGAGGCATTCACATACCCTGAGCAGCCTCATTCACCACAGTGAAAGGTGGAAGCAACCCAGTGTCTACCAGTGTGGACACTGTACCCTCACGTGGCACACACGTGATGGCACATACGTGGAACAGTTCTGTGCCTTACAAAGGAGGGGACTATGACCAGGCGATTGTAGTGCATGCCTGTCGTCTCAGCCCCTTGGGGTCTGAAGTGACAGGATCGCTTGAGGCCAGTCTGGTCACATCATGAGATCTCAAAAACACAAGGAAGGGAAGTCTGTCACATGCCACCCAATGGATGAACCTTGGGACATTACGCTAAGTGAAATAAGCCAGTTGTAAAAAATATGCTAGCATGGCCAAGTGGTCAAGCACCTGCCTAGCGTGCATGAGGTCACGACTTCAGTCCTAACTAGCACAAAAAACAAAAGCATTCTGTAGGACCTTACTCATGATGTCCCTTGAGTTGTCAGACTCAGAGAGATGGAAGGTAGGGTGCTGGTGGCCAGGGGCCGGGGGAAGGACAGTTAGCATTTAACAGGGTACAGAGTTTTAGTTCTGCAGGATGAGGCATTATGGAAAGGGATGGTGGTAGTGACTGTACGATGTTACAAATGTGTTTAGGACCACTGAGCTGTGCATTTCAAAGTGGACAAGATGGTAAGTTTTATGTTATGTGCATTTAGCCACAATTTTTGGAAAAGAAGGAAAAAAGAGCGAACACCCACTTGATAAGGCTGCTGGGAGTTTTGCAAGAGCACCTGACAAGCTTTGTGCTCCTGGTGGGTGCTGAATAAATGCAGCTGCTAAAATCTCTAATGTTTCCCCCACCCCAAAGTTCTCCCCCTATATGAGGGGACAAGGAACTAATGCTGTCCACATCATCCAGCCAGCCGGTGGGCAGCAGGAGGGAGATGAATGCCGTGGTATCCATGACAAAGAGAACTCGGTGCACAGGGGCCCTGAGGTTATCCTGTACACCTGGGGTGATGAGGTTTCCCCAGAGATCCCAGGCAGCTCCCTGCTGTGACTACTACCTCAGGCTGTCTGGATGGAACCCAAGAGCCTGGGACTCACTTTTTCCTCCCTGTTTCCTTTCCATCAGTGTCTGTGAGAGGCAGTCTCCCTGGATTATTTCTGTCTGGTGTTGGAAGGAAGCCAGAGGCTAAGTACACCACCTTCTTGAGCAAGTTTGGGAAAGCAGAAGTGCCCTGGCAGGGATGAACAAGGTCCAGAGAACAGCCCTGGCCATCTCTGGGCTCCTTCACCACCACTTGGAGAGAGCTGCATAGGTCCACAGGCTGGGCTGGAGGAGGAGGAGGAACCAGCACCTGCTCTCCCCCTTAGCCTGGCAATCACTCACTGACCTCACTGCAGCCTAACGAGGGGTCTCCAAGCCAGGTTGATGATAGCACAGCATTGACCTTGAATTTCAACCCATGGTACAAGCACGCAGAGCAAATGATAGCAAATGACCGGGATGCTCCCTTGCACTGCAGAACACCGCAGATCCCTCAATTTACACTCTCTTTCTGGTTTGCCTCTCATATTCACCCTCCTATCCCACAGTGTTGGTTTTACTCTGAGGTCTTATCTCTTACTTCACTAGAAACCATACTTTCTTTTTTCTCCTTACGTTTTAAAAATGTGTTATAAAATAACAGCACAGGGTTAGGATGTACTCAGCATAGAGCACTTGGCCCGTATGTGCAAGGTCCTAGGTTCCATCCCCAGCGTCTCAAAAACAGCAAAAAAACCATAGCATTAGAAGAAGTCACTTAAACTGGCCTGCAATCTCTGTGGCCTAAACAAGGACTTAGTCATGCTAGTGTGTGGATCTGCATGTGCCTCTGTAGCTCCCTCAGTAGAGGTAGAGAATTGTTCTCAGGTGACAGACAGTTCCTGTGCGAGGAACGTCGATGATGTGACTGAGTTCACAGACATAGGGTACAAGTCAGGACACTCCTGGCACATTTGCCTCATTGTCACCACGTGGTAAAGTAACATAAGGCTTCTCGTGCCAGTCATGATGATTTAGGGTCCTAATGCTATGTTTCTTCTCTCCCATGGATGTCTTGGGAGCAAATGAACAGAGAGAAGCTTTACCTACACGAGCCCCCACTCTTGCCACTGGGGTGCTGTCCTTGTAGCTCACCTTCTTCTGCCCTTTCTCCCCACAGCAAACAGCGGCACAACAAGTTGTGGCGCCAGCAGACAGACAGCAGCCTCCAGCAGCCTGTGGAAGACCCTGCAGAGTCCAGCAACTTCTTGCCAGAGAGTCTGGATGATGCCCCGGACACCCAGCCGCGCTGTTTGGATGATACTACCCGGCCTGGACTCCCAGGAAGTCAGGCTCCAGGAGGACCCTCTCTCTCCTGCTGGTTCCGGAGACTCTCAGACCCCCTCACTGGCCCCCATGAGGACCCGGACAGCTTGGTCCACCTAGAGGATCTTGAGAGGGACGCCCTGCTGGAGGAAGCAACTCAGCCAGTGGATGCACCCAAGCTGGCCCGACATCCCCAGGAAGGTGCTGGACTCTGTGAGAAGGACACAAAAAAGAAACTAGAGTTTGGGAGCCCCAAAGCCCAGAGTGACTCCTTGCTCCAGGTGGAGGAGATGGACCGAGAAGAGGTCCTGAGAGCGGGGAGGTGGGGACGGCCCGCTGCTCAGCTTAATAAAAGTCTGCTCAACCAGGAGAACCTAAATAATAACAACAGCAAGAGGAGCTGTCCTGACGACTTTGAGGTAGGCACGGGACAGTGTGGGGAGCAGCACACTGCTTCGCGTTCACACCACCCCAGGAGCATTCTCTCGTGACCTTCCCTGCCACTCTACCCTGCAGGACTAGCAGTTCTCATCTCCAGCCAGCCCCAGGTTTATCTCAGGGTGACTGCCTGCCAACTCAGAGTGTGGCTTGTGTCTCCCTGTCCAGTGGACAACATCAGGAGAGACTACACCCCTGCATGCCATCTGTGCCCATGCCCCTTACCCGTATCTTGGGCAGCGTTCCCAACTTGGTTCTTTTTTCTTAAGTAAAGTATAAAGCATGTAACTCATCACCCAAGTCCACCCCCACCTACTTCCCATCTCCCAGAGTGCTTTAGTAAGTAATGTAACAAACCACCATCCCCGCCCGGGAAAAAGTGAGTCATTCCTCAGCATCCTTAACCATCTGGTGTCCAGTTCAGATCCCAGGGCGCAGCCCCATTTGTCCCTTATAGCTGTCATTACTGGTGGATGGTCTACACAAGATTGAGCTTCAACCTTATGTACTCGGAAAACCATTTGTGCCAGCTACCTGTCTCCCTGTTCCACCATAAAACAGTGACCCAAGGGCAGGACTGGCTTTGTGGAAGGTTGTGGGTGGGCAGCCTGGTCTCGGGTTTTGCCCTGCTCTGGCTTACCAAGGTGTGGGGCCGGGAGCCTCCTCTGCCCACTTCACCAGGGACACTGACAGGCACATTCAGGTGGAAAGCTGGTTTGTCATTAAGACTGTCACAGTGCACACAAAACTGGCACACTAGCAGATGTATTCCAGACCAGATAGGGCTTACTCACAATCTCCCCTACTACTCACCACTTGACTCACACAGCAAATACCCAGGAAGGCAGGTGACATAAAACCATTTTATCCAGGACAGCGGTGCTGTGGTTGTCCCAAGTGGCATGACTGTGAGTCACTGAATGGTGACCAGGAGAGGGCTTGGATAGGACTCAGGCTGCATTTACTGGCCAGCATTTGATCCAATGAGGGACAGCATCTGGGGAACAGGATCTGGAGACAAGGATCTGTTTGTGTCCCACTCCCACCCATTAACCATGGTGCCAGGCTGGCATGGGGTTCAGCTGTGCATCAGGTCACCCAAGCACATGCACTTGTACGGGCAACTGGAGGGCAAACTTGAGGATATAACAAAGAAGACAAATAAATGCACTGGGAGTTGCTGACAGATCAGCTGTAGCATGCCAGCAGCGGGGCTGAGAAGGGTGGCCCTGCAGAGGGCCAGGGCACAGGCTTCTGGGAGAATGGAGCTTGGTGGATGAGAGTCAGTGGTGAGAGGTGTGGTTGGAGAGGTGGCTGGGGCATGCTGGCAGGGCTGTGTGCATTGTGTCAGGGACACAGTCTAGACAGTCTAGAGAACTTTAAGCAGGGTAGTCTTCACCTCACCCCACCTCTTTTGGCCCATGAGGGGGTGAATTGTTGTCCTTGAGCAGCAGAAGGACAAGGATGTAGAGGCACATGGCCATTCACTTAGCCCCTACAAACCAAAAGGCTGGGGGTTGTCCTTGGGCACAACATGAACATGTGTTCTATTGCCATAAAAGCCACCTCAGCCTGGTCTACTGGCACCTGTGCTTGGTCTGTTAGAGAACATCCAGTAACTGTTTTCACCTTTGCCGCTTTCTTATGGAAAGTGATGGTCCCAGATCCCAACTGTCTTCGTGCTAGACAGGAAGGGCTCCACTGTCGGGGAGCACACACCCTAAGCGCAAACTCTTCCTGCCGTGGAGAGTTCTCTCCTGTGTTTGTGTGCATGAAATGCCGTTGGCTTCATTTCTCCAATACCATGAGGGTAGGGTAAGCGTTGTCATGCCACTTTCCAGATGAGACTACAGCCCGGAAAGGCTCACCACAAGCAGGTGGTGGAGGCAGGCTGAGCAGTGAGATCCTAGGAGGCCTGGCTCAACCACACTTGGCTGTGTGGCCAAAAGTTTGCCCTGGACTTTGCGTCTTAGCTTCTGGAAAGTCAGGTTTGGCATCTCTTAACCTCCGTTATTCATGGCCAGGTGGGTTCTAAGAGGTCTAGAAGATTACTGAGTTAAATGAAATGAAAGTACTGCCTCCCCAGTGCCTGCCCCAGCCCCATTGTACCCTGTCAGTCCCTGCCCTCCTTGTGGTTTGAGTTTTGACTCAGGGTTGTCTGGTCTCATGGTGTTCTGTCCCCTTGCAGCACGATGCTATGTTTGGGATCCTTAACAAAGTGAAGCCTTCCTACAAATCTTGTGCCGACTGCATGTACCCTGCAGCCAGTAGGGTTCCTGAGGCCTTCCGGGAACGATGTGAGGACCCAAGCACTCCTGCCATCTGCACCCAGCCAGCCTTCCTGCCCCATGTCACGTCTTCCCCTATGGCTCATGCGTCCAGCAGGTCCCGAGCTCTGGAGAAGCCAGCCTCTGGCCCAGGTGACACTCCCCCATTCCTACCACCAGCAGGTTCCAGGCCAGATAGCAGCAGCTCGGGGGCTGCCCCAGGGCTGCTGGCTGGCCTTCCAGCACCTTCTGGAGAGACCCCAAAAGTCCTGCCAGAATCCCTCCTGCTGAAGAATTTGCACTGTGATAAGAGCCCTCCCAACGTGGAAGCTGTGAAGGAAGAGTCGCCCCCCAAGAAAGACCCAAAGCCAGCGAAGGACCTGAGGCTCCTGTTCAGTAATGAACCTGAGAAACCAGCAACCAGCAGCTACTTGATGCAGCACCAGGAGTCCATCATTCAGCTGCAGAAGGCAGGCCTGGTGCGTAAGCACACCAAAGAGCTAGAGAGGCTGAAGAGTCTGCCCTTGGACACAGTGGCTGGCTGCAGGGACGGCTCCACTGGCAGAGTAGAAGCCGGCGTCCCCGAGGAGGACCAGGAGCCAACTGCACTACCTGGCCTTGCAGAGAGCGAGGAGAAGCCGGAGGCCGTCCCCGCAGCACTGGAAGGAGCCTCACTGAAGAGCCTCCCTTCCTTCCTCTGCCGCCTGGATCACACCAGTAACTTCTCAAAAGACTTCCTGAAGACCATCTGCTACACCCCTACCTCCTCCTCCATGAGCTCCAACCTTACCCGGAGCTCCAGCAGCGACAGCATCCACAGCGTCCGGGGGAAGCCAGGGCTGGTAAAACAGCGGACACAGGAGATTGAGGCCCGGCTGCGCCTGGCAGGCCTCACGGTCTCATCCCCGCTGAAGCGCTCCCACTCTCTTGCCAAACTTGGAAGTCTCAACTTCTCCACCGAAGACCTGTCCAGCGAGGCCGATGCATCCACCATCGCTGACTCACAGGATGCCAAGGGGAGCGAGTCTTCCTTCTTGCACGAAGCCCAGGCCACTCTGAGGAACCCAGCTGTAACCGCCAAACCATCAGGGAAATCTGCCCCAGAAAACTTGAAAAAGCCTGTGCAGATGAGCAAAAGCTGACCCGCCCTTCACTGCCTTGGGACTTCTGTTCTCATATGATCTCCTCCCTTAGTCTCCTTGCAGATTCTGATCCACTCCTTACATCTTGACTTGTCTTAACCGAAGTCATCCACGCTCCCCCTACTCTTGCCATAAAGGGGAGGAGAAGACACAAAAATAACTTACAGCACAAGAAGGGAGATGCAGGTGAGTGGTCTAGAGATCCTGAGGCTGTCAGCCAGGAGACAGAGAACTCTGATCCTCAAGTCCTGTCTTTGAGAAGAACCTTGTTTTAAAAGACATGTTCAGATATGCACACACATGTGCAGATACGCACACCCATCCCAGATGCTCCATTTGCAACAAATAAAAGAAGAGATGTACGTCATCACCACAGCCTGCGTTCCCAGCTCATTGCAGCCCTTGTGGGAAACTTGGGTGGCAACATAAGTCCTACCTCTGTTCTTGCTGGGCTTTTTGTTTTTAAAAAATGATGATGACCAAGGCTCATTCCAGGGAAGAATCATGCTGGGTCTGAAAAGATTTTTCCAAGAGTTTTTTGTTTTTTATTGCTGGGACCTCAGAAGTGTCAAGACTTTTTCATCTATCGCACCATGCACTACTAGGTAAAACTGTCAACGCCATCCAGCTGTGTTGAACTTGCTTAGCAGAGTGGCAGTTGGCTGTGGTCAAAGGGCTCTATCCTGGTTCTATGTGTGCAGCTGGTGGAGGATGTTCAGGTGTGTGATGTTCTCAGTTGTTATTAGTGGTAAAGCATCTATCACCTCCAGTCAGAGGAGAAAGGACCCCAAGCACTGTTGAGCTGCATTCACTGCTGAACAAGATGTGGTTGTTTAGGTTTCAGAAGCACTCGAGCATCCCGCAGGGTTGGTTAGCCTGGGATGTGTTCTGCTAGGAGCCCTGGACCACAGGCTCATCAGGTTCCATCGATTCATGGTGGGAGAGAAAAGGGATTTCAGCAATAAAAAACGCTATGGATCCCTTTCCCAGAGCCACCCTGTAGCAACTTCTCTGAAAAGCTTCGCAGATTTTATGGTTTTCCCTTCCCGACAGGAGACTACTGCTTCCTGTTTCTCCAGCTCTCCCCAGCAGAAGTGATGAATGAATGGGCTGGGGTCTGAGCTTCAGCTCTGGGTAGCACCTTAAAAAATATCAGGCAAGCTTGGTGTAGAAGGCAGCCTTGGGCTGTGGGATCAGATCAAGGGTGTCTGTCAGCAAGACAGAATGCTAAGATATTTTGAAGAGACAAAGCAGCCTAGTAGAAAAACAGAAGAGCTTAAGTCAGGGTTCATCTAACTATGGTATATAGCCCTCATGGGCTGAGAAAGGTTTTACACTTTTAAGGAATTATTTAAAAATAAGCCAGGCATGGTGGTGTATGCCTATAATCCCAGCACTTGGGAGATAGAGGCAGGAGGATTCCATGTTTGAGGCCAGCCTGGGCTCCATAGTGAGACCTTGTCTCAAAAAAACCAAAACTGAGAAACAATTAAAATAATACTTGACAGAGAACATGTGGCCCACAAAGCCTTAGATATTTCCTGCCTTCTCTAGACATTTGCTAACCCTGGTGTTTTGATGACACAAGGCTGCCTATGGCCCCACAGGAGGAAGTGGCACAATTGAAGGCCTCCTCTGCCTCAAGCAAAACCCTGTGAATCCCTCCAAAACCACGGCAGGCCTTGCTGACCCTCCATGCTTGTCTCTTGCTCAGGATGGAGTCACTGCGCATGTGGGGGAACACAGAAGCTTGTCCACACTCCATCCCACACTCAGCCGGGTCAGCCAGAGTGCCTCGATGACACCAGAAAGCCTTCAAGGGCCAGCCACATTCAGGAAGCAGGTGACTGCAGCCCCCAAAGGACCTCTTCTGATGAGCTCCAGGGCAGAATTTGCAAGAACAAAGCTAGCTCTCATTTCCACCAGTGGGAGAAGTTTCGCAAACTCCCTCTCTTCAGGAACTTTTTCTTCCTGGGATGAGTTTTTGAAAAATATATGTTATTTCATAGGGATTTGTTTCCCACTAGTGTCAATTGCAATCACCTTAAAACATGATTTTCCACTTACTTCTGAAACCCTGTGGGTTTCCTCCTCTCCCTCAGCCAACAAAAGCAGATTTAAAAACAAAAAAAATCAAGTTCAATATGTTTTGCCAAGTTCAATTTCACATGGCAGATCAATTTTTGTATCAAAATAATCCCTTAAATTTGATGATGATAGGCTTATGTTGGTTTTTTAATTGCGTCTATGTAGGAGAGTGATGTATTTTTGAAAACTTTAATTTTGAAAGCCATAATTTTTCTTGTGCTATTAAAGAGTGAGGTGGGGAGGATTAAGTATGAGTGGGGCTTTGGCTTCTGGCAAGCATTCCCGTTTGCTTTAGAATCACAGCTAGCATATGAACCAACATCCAGACAGCCGGACCCTGGCCTGGCTGCCAGCCAGAGAGCCAAGCAAAGACATCTTGATTTGACGGTTTACCCTGCTCTGGCCTAGAGGAAAGGATGAAGGTTTTTCTTGGAGACCCAGCTCAGCTGCCTGTGAACATATGGCAAGTTGACATTTAAATTTTACATTAACAAGGCAAAAGCATTCTGCCAGGTCAGGGGCACCTTGGCAATGACAAATTCATACTGGACTCAAAAAAATTTGCTTGTAAGATACACCATTGCTCGGCTCGGCTTGGCTGATGCCTTACATGTGAAAATACCAAACACCAGTGGCAGAAAAGCAGGAGGCAGAAGGATGCAGGATTTGTGCTATGGGAGTTGTTATCTTCCTGGAATGCATTCATTGAATGAAGAGAAGAGGCAGGCCAGGCACCAGTGGCTCACGCCTGTAATCCTAGCTACTCAGGAGGCAGAAGTCAGGAGGATCACAGTTCTAAGCCAGCCTGGGCAAATAGTTTGCAAGACCCTATCTCAAAGAAACCCATCACAAAGAAAAAGGGGAGTGGGGGTGGAGCGATGGAATGGCTCAAGGTGTAGGCCCTGAGTTCAAACCCCAATACCACAAAAAAAAAAGAGAGAGAGAGAGAGAGAGAGAAGAGGCAGAATTTCTCTGAGCGCTACCTCTGCAGCTTGTTGCCTTCCACCCTTCCCTCGCCTGCATCCACACAGCGTGCAGCAATCAGGCTGCATGGGACCACCTCCTCATCTTGCATCCACACCAAGGTCCTGGCAGGCCTTGTTAGGTGCAAGGAAGAAGCAGCTGCCCTCCAGTCAAAATTTGATAATGCTGAATGGTGACATCAGGCCAGCAGGGTGCAGGTTCACTTGGCCTTCCCCACCCCAGGTTCCTGCTGATGGGATAGACAAAATGAAGGTCACTGACTTCCCCCATACTCAGCTATTTGCTGTGTTACTGTCTGCTCTAGGCGGGAGAGTCCACTCTGCATGCGTCAGTGTAAATGTGCATATATGTCTTCAGTATGTGCATCATATGTGAGCACACTGCTTGAATCAAATGGTCACGTGCCTCACTTCTGTCATCCACACATATGCTGTGTCACCCAAACTGCAGCACGGATCACCCGGGCCCACCTACAGGGAGGCTGCCTGGTGCAGCCCACGTCGTCCATCTGGAGGTGACTGCCTTGCTCTTGTTCTGCAATGGGCACCGCAGCCCGCCGGCCCGCTGCCCTCCCGGTCGGCCTTGCTGCATGAGAAGGTGGCTGCTTCCTCTCTCTTCCTGCACTGTAATTATTGTTTTACAATTGAGTGCCTTAATGATAGTTTACAAATACTATGTATTTATGCGGAACCGTTAAGCTCCTGTCTTTTGTGATTGGTACTTTGTCCCGTCCCGGTGGCTGGTATTAGGACTTGAGTTTGTCCTACTCTGTACTTAGGTTTATTCTGCTATGCAGTTTGACATTGTATGTTCACGACTACTCCACAGAGCCTGCCAGAAACAGCACTGCGACTTCCTGCAGGCCAGGCGGGCACTGGCCAATGCTGTGACCCACTGTAGCCAACAAAGGAACACGGTTTGTTCTGCCAGGCAGCTCGGGAATGGTGTCGACCTGGCGCCCTCCGAACCACCACCCAGCACCCCTCCCAGCCCCCACCACACAATTAGTCTTTTTTCGTAGGAGTTTTATTACCACCTCATCCATCCTGTTCTTCCTCTGTTAGTGTCCTGAGCTCCTTTGCAGCAGATCGTAGGTACAGTTCACACCCATGCAGAGGCTCTGCCAGGTGATTTGTTTGGGTTTCAGAAGCTGCTGGTGGATTCCCGTGTGTTGGATTACCATACTGGCATTTTTCAGTTGTTTCTCTTTTTGTTTTTTATATTATCTATTTAAAAGGCAGTATCTTTTGTACTGTGAATTTGCAGTAGAAGATGCATAATGCACTTTTTTTTTTTTACTTCTGTTGGTATGTATTGTATAGTCTGTGTGCTTCCTGTGACGAATAAACTTTTTATAAATGCCCAGTTCCTGAGTGTGTGCAAAAGAAAATGCTTCTCTACCCTTTGCCAAGGTAGTCCCGCACATCATTGTTGCCAGCTTTGTCACAGACTTTGTCTTCAGTGAGCACCTGCTACGCACTAGACTATGCTGAACAAGTTTAAAGCAAGGAAAGAACCAAAGGAAGAAGTGCTAGCTGCTCCCAGCACCAGACTTTTCCTCCCAATCTGTCACTAAGAAAGAACAGACCCATTGTGTCACCCAACATCATTTGTTGGTGGCAGATTACCAACCAGAATGGGACTTGGTGGTTTCCCTGCAGTACAAATAGAGAATGTAAAGCTAGAGATGTGCTCTCAAGAGCTCCCAAACTCCTCCCGGTCAGGAAGACCATGGGGACTGATGGCTGCCCAACCGCCAAGTCAGGAAGCCAGGGGAACCTGCCACTGAAGGTAGCAAATGCTTGTCTCATGGTTCTGTCTCACCAGGCAGCTGTCAGTAGCTCTCTCCTTTGGTGTGTTACCTTCACCCGTCACTGTGTCAAAATACCTGAGATAAGCAACTTAAGAGGAGCAAAGTTTTATTTTGGCTCATGTTTCCAGTGGTTTCAGTGATGGCTGCTTTGGGCTGGCAGCAATGTACAACATCATAACAGAAACATATAGCAAAAAAAAAAACTCACCTCATGGTGACCAGAAAGCAGAGGGCACGGGAAAGGCCAGAATGGGTCCTCATATCCCCTTCAAGGTCTTATCTCCAGTGATCTGCTTCCACTCACCAGATGCCAAAAAGTTTCTACCACCTCCCTTAGCCACACCAGCGGGATCACATCTTCAACACCTTGCCTTGGGGGGGGGGGTACATTTACAAACCAAAGCATAACACTTGATTCAGAAAGCCAGATTGTCTGTATCTTAAAATCCTGCCACCCCAGGCACCGGTGGCACACGCCTGTGATCCTAGCTACTCAGAAGGCAGAGATCAGGTTCAAAGCCAGCCAGGCAAGTAGTTCACAAGACCCTATCTCAAAAAAAGAAAAAACCCATCACAAAAAACAGGCTGGTGGTGTGGCTCAAGGTGTAGGACCTGAGTTCAAACTCTAGTACTGCAAAAAGAAAAGATCACACCCCTAAGCCACCCAGGGTGTGTCTCCCTCCCCCAGGTCATGGTCACCATATTTTAAAGGAAACTGCTCGTACGTTGTATACTTGTAGAGTCCAGCTTCAGACTCATTCCTTCTGTAAACTACACCAGCAGATAAAATGTCAGCCGCCCACACAGGAAAGGATGTCCCAGTGTGTGACACCAACTCTCTGGGCTGGGGGGAGCTCAGTGGTAGAACACTGCTTAGCATGTTCCAGGTCCTGAGTTAACGTTCCCAGTTCCAATAATCATAAATAATATCGGATAGGAGAAGGGATGTAGCTCAGTGGTAAAGCACTTGCCTAGCACATATAAGAGTTTGACCCACAGCACAGTGTCACAAAAAAAAAAAAAAAAAGACATTCTCGCTAAAATGATGCATTCAAGTGAGAAGCTCCCTCCAGTTCTCGAAATTGGATATCAAAGCAGGTAAGACTTGTCATGGTGGTGCACACCTGTAATCCCAGTACTCAGGAGGCTGAAGCAGAAGGATCATGAGTTCAAGGCCATCCTGGGCTACATAGCAAAACACTGTCCCAAAACAAAGCTAGCATAACAACTATGTTCCCCACTTCATAGGGCCGATAATTTGAAAATGAACTGGTGTGCAAACCTGCATGGGCACGATAAGTGGCTGCAGTCATCGGTACAGAAAGGGTAGACACTGAGCATCTACTAGTTGCAAGGGTTTCACATACAGTTGCCCCGCAGATACCAAAATCTGAAGAGGCTGGAGTCCCATAAATAAAATGGTATGGTATTTGCATAGAACCTAGCACATCCTCTCAGATACTTTAAATCATCATGACAAAGTACTAATGCAATGCTATGTAAATATGTTAAACTGTATTGTCAGGGAATGATCACACACACAAAAGTCCACATGTTCACTGCAGGTGCAGGGTTTTTTTTTCCTCCCCCAAATATTTTTCTATCTTCAGTTGGTCCAACCCTTGGATGGAGAACCCATGGATACGGAGGGCTGAGTGTATTGCCGAGTTAATCCATACAGCAGATGTGACTGTTTTACAAATAAAGAGATGAATGCACAGAAAGGTTAGTGATGTGGATCAGAGCCACACAGCCAGGAAGCAGCAGAGGCCCAGAGTACCCAAAGAAAATAACCCAGAATGCACTTGGTATAGTGATTACACTAGGGTCTGAACAGACACTGACAGGAAGGAAGGGAGGGAGTGAAATATGCCATGAAAGTAAGTCTCAGCTTCATCCGCCAGGCTTGGAAAGTTGGGGGACACCTATGATTGGCTAAACCAAGTTCCTCTGAGGCAGTGACTGTGTCTCAGTCACCTCAGGGACTCACTCCAGCAAGTATCTGGCATGTTAACCTCAGGTCAATGCCAGACACTAACTATGAATCAGAGAATCCTGAATTTTCCAGAGTCCAGAAGAATCTGAAAGGTCAAGCCAGCCAAACCTTTTAATCACCTCATCTGTCTGGCATGTTTTCCCCATTCCTGGA